CAGACAATCTCATTACCTGATCAGAGAAAGAAAAATTTATGTACCCTGAACTGCAGAGACTTGAAAGACCACGAAAGGGGCGAAGCATTCATAGTCGGGACTTATGTTTAGACATGGTAGGTAGCTCAGAGAGCACTCAAGGAAGGAGAAGCACCTTTCAAAGCATGACACTCAAGTCCACAGGCACAAGAAGATAGTACAATGGAAATTTCAGACTGTTTGTTCCTTTACCTTTGCACTACTGCGCACAGTTCAAAGCACTGACAGAAACTTCATACAAACATTCAAAAAAAACCCTCTCACCCCAAAAGGAATTAAGTATATGTATACTTCCTTCCACTTCTGTCAGATTCTATTCGTTAACTTCTTAAAAGACAGAAGAGGCTGCTTTGGGGAGGAGTGGGCTCTCTCTCCGTTCTGGTGTTGGTAAAACTTACAGAAACTCTGTTTATCTCCACAGTAAAGCAGCTGTGATAATACTCTTGTCCGTAATTATCCACTTCCAGCTTTCCTAGCATGGAAGGAGCACCAAGGATATTGCCTTCTTACTGGAATAGGGACACCCTGTGATAAAATTTGCTACAGTTCAAATCAGCAAAAATGTTTTCATTCTTTTAACTGAATTATGCTATTTCAAACTTTACCCACTGATTCCATCAGTTTCTTCCATACTTCCATTCATGCTTAGTGGCATGCTGCTATATTAACATTTGCAAAGTGTGTGTCGGGTTGGTTACGCTGCAAGTACTTGTTTATTTGCATTTATTTTTCAACACAGGAGGTAGAATAAAACAGGACTAGAATTACTCTCTCAGGGAGTTCACAAACCTTCCCCTGCCCCCTCTACTCGAGTTTCCTTGTTATTTTTCAGTTTCATAAGCTGGCTAGATGGAGTCAGAAATACACACAAAATGGTAAGAGCTGTCTTGGCAGCCTTCAGTGAATTCCGACCATAAGCACTTTCACATCCTCCAGCAAGCAAGCAAGCCAAGGTGTTTTGTAAGAGCAACCCACAAATCTTAATGAATACACTTAAGAAATTAACTGAAGTTTTCACCATTTACGCTGCAGCATCTTGCAAGGATCTAAAAACCTGACCTCCAGATTTAAGCAACAAAAAGCAGCTTTTCATACAAAGCTGTTATCAACAGACTCTGTATAAGAAGGTGTTTAAAATGTACACAAGCAGAGAAAGACAAAGAACTATGTTTCACCAGTTACTCTGATGAATTTTGCAATGGAAGTCTGGAAGTTTATCACAACTTGAGAGTTTATCCATAGAGCAGAATGGACAGTATTGCTTTTTTTGTACTAGACCTGTTTTAAGTCTCTTCTAGCACAGATCACAGTCCAGTTCTGTACTAACACCGTTCCTGAGGTTAATCATCAGAACCTGCTATTTCATTGCCCCTAGCTCTAAAAATCAGACTAAAAAGAAGCAAGGCAAGAATTAAAACAATTGCCTCGTACGGTGCAACCCAACTTCAACCAGAATCCAGACCACCACAAACAAAGTGTTTTCATTTTGTTACTGGCAGCGAAGGAGTGCTTTGCTTGACCTCCTTCCCTCCAAAAACACTCTATTACCATGATTTGGAAAGGTAACTGAGTGAAACGAACATACCTCAAGCTGTTCCCTCAGGTTAGATATACAAAACAAAGACAGAAGCCAAAAGATAGGGTAAGTTATTTTTACAGAGCTCTTCAACAGATCATGACAAGAGACTGATCAGTGCTGTTAAAGTACTGGAAACTCCCATAGGACCCTGTGCTCCCTGTCACATAAACTGGACTCTTTTCTGCTCAGCACAGTAATGGAAAGAAGACAACAGGAGCACGTGAGCGGCGTGGCTGTCTCTGTAGCTCTTCAGCATGTACAGTGCCTCCAGGTACAGGCAGATCTGATGCAGCATAGCTCAGACACAACTTCCTGCTCCACATCTCTTTCTGAGGACACTGTCACTGTCAGTCCCGCACACCAACCATGCTCAAGCTCTTTAAGTGCAGAAGGACTCAGCAAGGACACAGTGTAAGAAGCAGGCAGATGATGTGCAAGCAAAAGATGGGATAAACTGGCATTTAAAAACATGAGGCATGAAACGATGTCTTCAAGAGGCTGCAGATGCCTGCTGTGAACCCAAACAGGCTGAAAATTTCATCCTTTACATAAAGACATTCCTACAGAACATACAGTGCTGATTGCCTATTTACACATTCTTTTTTCTGATTTTCAGTGGAACATTTTTTCCATGTACACGGTTACATGAAAAATACCATTGACTCCCAGTTTGACTGTTCCAGTTACTGAGTGCCTATTTTGGTTTTTTTTCTAAACTGCTTGCTGGAGAAAGGTGGGGAGATGTTTAATGACAGGGGTGTCTGAGGTGATCGTATTGTGTTCTCACAAGGTAACAGAAAAATGAAGCACAGCCTTTTCTGCATTTCTGCCTGATTTAACTCAGGAATTTCCTTCTTATGAATGCAAAATATTCATTAATATGTTGGGGAAGATTTGAAAAGAAGATTTCTTTATCTTGTTTTATAAATATTTACAGTGGCAATCTGGAAGTTTTACTCCTTCCTACTTCCCTACTAAGACTGTTTATTAAACCGCCAACTATAACATGATGTCTGTATGCTAATTACAGGACTAATTTTGCTGTCGCTGAATTCAATGACAGATGACTCAAGGAGTTCAGAAGTAGCTGGCTTGAACCTTTTATTCAGAATTTCCAAGATAAACATTTTAAATGTATTGCTCTGATCAATACCAACTGCAAAAAATTTCTCTTCACCTTTGCCTCATTTTCCACATGCTCAAATACTCCAGGTTGTTTCATCTTCATTTACGAATTCTCAATATATACTTATGCTGCAGGCTCTTCAGAGCAGGTAATTTTTTATTATTAGTCTGGGTATTACGTATCGATTTGGTGTTCTAATCTCAGGTCTTTAAATGTTGCTTTAATATAAATTCAGTAATACTGATGATGATAAACGGAGAGAGTGTTTCTGGAACTTTGAATTATGGATAGATCCAGACTGTGAAGCTCAGGTGTGAAGGCAAACTTTGGAGAAGTGTGAGTTTCACTTCAGGGACAACTGAAGGTCACTCCTTTCTAATGAAATTTTCAAGAGTTATTTGTAGCTCACAGTGACATTTCACCACTACTACACATACCATGCCTGTGATTAGTTTTTGAAGGAGTGTACCTGAACTATGAACTAATTTTACTCATCTTCCTAACCATCACTGGTCAAATTTAAAGAACAAAATAAACACCACATATGAGGTTGCTGCCTTTTAATAATTTCATATAGTCATTTCCCAAAAGTGTATCCTTACTAAAATATGACCTACATGGACAATTCTGCAACAAAAAACTACTGAGGTCAAACTTACTGATCAGGCAACAGCATTTTTTTTGTGAGAAAAGTTTTACCTGAAGATACTAAAAAACCACCACCATGTAAGGAGCTTCCTGGAAGGTAACTTTACATGTTACCACACAAAACATAACTTCATGCATTCTCCCTCAGGGTACAGTTTACTTCCTATTTCCTCTAATAAAGTCATGTTGGAGTACTTAATGCAAATTTTGAAAAACCTAACAAGTATTGAACTTTAAAGAGCTAACATGAGACATTTCTCATCGTTGCTCTCACTTAGCTTCCACCTACTTCAGCTCTCTAAATGCAATTCAGAAAGCTTCAGACACAAATAAAATTTACGCTGAACTGTTGTTCAGTCACAGAAAGTTTCTTCTAGTCTTTGGCCAAAACTCTGCAGCTCTATCCTGTTGGCTTCATGTTGCTATTCAGGTTATTTCACAAAGACTGTACTCTTTTAATGCTACCCCAAAGAGCAGAGACTATGCCATATGAGAAGGAGGTGAGAGAATAGGTTACCATCCCATCAAGTTAATCTGCACTGACTACATTTCCGCTCTGCTCAAATCTCATTTGTTCCAGGAACTCTCCTCTAAAGAAAATATAGAAACACAGAATATAGGTACACAAAACACTAGGTATCTCCGAAAAGAGCACTTGCCAAGAGCAAGAAAGGGTTACCAAGATATACATCCATGTGGTACTATGCCGTAACAACAGCTGAGAGGAAGGACATGTGGTTAACAAGAACCTACCAGAAGATTACTTACCACTCTCTACACAGACCCTCATCTACACATCTTAAGAACAAAAGCTCACCTCCTTTAGCACACAGCAAAGTATCTTCTAGTCCTCCCAACAAGGCAGCAAGTGTTTTTTTATTTTTCCTTTTTTTTTAAATACAATTTCACCCACATCGCCAGACACAGACTGATGATATCAGTAAAATAATACGCTAATGGAGTTGTTGCAGATTCCTCTGTGTTACACATACCTCCATCTGGCTGTACAATAAATAAATGAACAAATGGAAGGGCTGAGATTTCCCTCTTCCACAGGGACATGAGCACTTGCCACTCTCTCCAGCTGCTACTTCCCAAGGTACAAACAGAAGCTCAAGAAAATGCATCTGTTAGAAAGCACCAGTACTGCAAATGCACCTTCCATTCTTGCCATTGTTTCCCCTTGAATCTATCACCTTAACGTGATGTTACAGTATGGTCTGAAGTACCTCTTACGTACAGCACAGATTCTCATCAAATTGTTGTAACCAAACTCATATCAGAACAAATTTCATTTCCTATCGTCTTCCTACCTACACTGACTCAAGTAACATTTTACTGCAGGAAGTGTCCCAGGGGGCTCTGCAGCAGAAGGCAGAGAAATGGGATTCGTAATAAGAAAAAAAAGAGAAGCAGAAGAGTTTGATTCAAAATTCTATACTCTGTCTACATCTGCCTCTGGCCTTACTTACCTGATGAATAAACGAAACACTAAATGAGATGGCACTTAAGTCTAGTTAATTTGACTGCTCTCAGTGCAGAAGCCTATAGTATCAACTCATACAAACCACTACAATTCTTGAAGGTATAAAAAAAAACCCTGCTTACCTTTCATCCCAAACTTAGAGTGCCTTCCAAACTTCAGAATAATGAGCATTATTACTAAGCCGGTGCACACCAGCGCTGCAATTCCCACCACAACATACACCTGAAAAAAGAGGACACAAAAACAGGTCTGCTTGTTTTGTTCTCATGAACTACCTTCAAAGACATTCAGCATACATCCAGATTAACCCATTTAGGTAACAAGATTCATTTCAACTGGGAAACATTTGCACTCAGATCAAAGAGTACAGAAAACAGCCACTTGTTGAGGTTTATTCTACCCTGCAGAGAACAGAGATTCAGACACCTCTGAGAACAACTTTTTCAACATCCTACACACTCAAGGCAGGTGGGAGGGAGTGCATATCACCCCCTCCCCTTCCAGTGGAGTGACGTGCTATAAGAAAACACATAAGAAAAGCACACAGAAAAAAAAAATTACTGTGAGGGTGGTTGAACATTGGCACAGACTGCCCAGAGTAGCTGAGGAGTCCCCATCCCTGGAGATACCAAAACCAGAGTGGGCACAACCCTTAGCAACCATGTTGGCCGTGCTGTAAGCAGGGGGGATTGGACCAGAGGATTTTCAGAGGTTCCTTGCAACCTCAGCCATTCAATGATTCTGTTATCAGACAAGACAAGACTGTCTGGGATCCTCCCAATTTTTTAGCATGCTGTCCCAACTCACAGTGTGCTCCTTGGTTCACACATGCTTTCCGCTGCCTGCTGCTTTACAGAGTCACTGATACAGGGAGGCTGCAACCTATCATAACCAGGCTGGCCACTGACCACCAGTTTCTAACAACTGAGTTCAGGAAAGAATGAGAGGCAAGACAGCAAAGGAGGAGGCTCACTAATTCAGCTACTTATACTAAAATCTACTGCAAATTATTTGATCAAGCCCCTACAAGAAATCAATTTTTAAAAACACAGAATCAGGATTTGAAAGTTCATTGCAGCATATCCTTTTTGTAAGGAGGAGCTGACTCCAGGACTGGAATTCAAACAACCACCTTCAAATTACCATGGATGTCTTTGTTCTGTAAATAAAGAGCTGCTCTCCTTAGCTAAAACTAGAAGACAGTCTTACGCTAAAAAATTACAGTTAGTTGTTCAGAAAAGCATGAAACAAAATAACTAGCAATTTTACTTGGACTGAAAAGTGATTCACTCTTTCAAAAATGGGGGGAGGACAAGAGTGGGGAGAATCGATTTTCTTTCTTTTCCTTTTTTTCTGAGTTCTGATCACAACACAGTAATAGCTCCAGTGTTCTGGTAGCTCAGGGTCCTATTACAATCTCTGCAGTTTTGTAAGTTGCATAGCCAGAAAGTTCGCCAAGACTACAGATCAGGAAACAACGTATATACTTACAGTGATACTATCTTCATTCTCCTTGTTGGAAACATCGGTAGAAGTGATTTGATTACTGTTATTCGTAGTGTCTCCAAGATCATTAGGTGTGGTTTCATACTCTTAGAAAAGGAAAAAAGGTTGCTTTTATAATTTCGTAAGCTTAGAGGGGAAAGGGTTGTCTTTATTATTGCTGCTCTGCAAGACGGTAAAGCCACTAACAACTCTGAGGACTCTGAGCTCTTTGGAAACAATATGCAATTCCTAATGTAGCTGGAACATTGGGGGGGGCATCCCTGTGGCAGACAATCGTCACAACAGTGTTGTAACTGACAAACCTGAAAAGAGAAGCAATCTACATCATAATGTGTATCTCTACTGGGAAAACTAGAGTTAAATAAGAACTCCATCCATAGAGCTATTTTTATGCGCTTCTGACTTCCCATTAAAAATGAAAGACTGCCCTCTACGCTGAACTTCTCCAGCCTTGTATTCTGCCAAATATAGGACAGTCTTAGAAATTAGCTTGGGGACTCCTGTTTAGCTGAGGAGAACTTGGCAGATCGGTTTTTAGCTAGCTTATTACTATCAAATGTGAAATAGCTGGGTTTGTTCATTTTAAAAGTAATAAAAATACTGTTGTGTGCACAGAGGTTACAGTTTAGCATCATAAACTGTCAGACAGTCAAGCCTTTAAAAAATTAAGTGCCTGAGATGGTACAAAGAAATTAGATTTATTAAAATAATTCCACTGACAGGTCTGCAGGGGTGAATTCAGAACTATTCCATCAAAAGAATGAACATGGTTTAATTATTTAAAAATGAAACACAGATATTTAGAGTCCACTATTTCCTGTCAAAATTATTCAAATGAGATAAAAAGAATTAAATAGTATACATATGAACTTAAGAGAAACACACATTATAATAAAATGTAAAAATGCATATATTTTATGATTACATCTGGAAATATACATAACGTTTCAATTTTATGACTGTAATCTGTGCAGATGAAAGAAACAAACAAGGGCAATAACTGGATCTATTATAAAATGCACCTCCAGCACTGTAATTTAACTTTGCAATTAACCGTGTATTTCTTTACATGTTTCGATTAAAATCAGTGCCATAAGCCTACAGATGAAATTTGAACTGTGAATCTGAGAAAGCAGAGCACAGAGGCATAGCTCTCGCTAACTACAGGGGCAGGAACTCTTCCGACCGCAGAGCTGCTGCTGAGCAAGGGCAGCGAGGGCCTGTGCCTCAGTAGAGTTTATCTTCTTTAGCTCCCAAGGCCAGTTTGGAAAGCTCAGCTGGCAACGCCAGCAACAAACTGCACTGGGCTTTTGATCCTCATGCATGCACGAACACATTTGCTTTCTGCAAAGCACTCGGCAGGCTGTAGATTTTTTGGTATATGAAGAGACACAGCTACCTCTGGCACCAATGCTACAGCCAGTAGAGTCAGGTTGTCTAATCAGCTCATGTAATCTATTTTGGCTCTACACCATGCATGCCGAAGGACAGGACTCTTTCAAGCCAAAATACTTATTAAGTATACAGAGCTTTCATGAGAAACAAAATTTAATTTCCTGGTCTTTTAGCATCTGAATTCTCCGACTGAGCACTGCATCTCTATGCCTATAGCTTCCTATGCAGCGAGATTAGAACGGTGGCCAGAGGCAAATGAAGAGCAAACCTTACTCTGGGCAGCACAAACCCTGCCTGAATGGCTCACCTGCGCAAGCAATCTAGACACTCGGACAAGGTGTTGTGCAGACCATTCACCACCGTGACTATATGCTTTGCCACAGCTAAGGAAGAGACTTCTGCTTCCTTTCATTTGCAGGCAGAGCCCGCTTTATAACAAGTATCTCAGCCTAGGAGATTGGCTTTCCTTTACAATTAGCCAGGAAAATCTTCACAAAGATAGCTTTGGCCAACTCTGTATTTATCGCAGCTTTATAAGACCAATACATAAAACAAATATTTAGAGCCTTTGGTGCTCTGGCACTGTAATACAAACTTTGAAGAGGGAAATTTTTTCCTTAATTTCACCTTAAACAGCAGTGGGCAAAAGCTGATGCTATCTGCAGTTCTGTTTATGCTCACGTCTGTACTAACCCACTGGAAATCACACCCTGAAGGACTAATGAGAACTATGCAGAGTGTTTCAGGTCTGGTCTGTCAATCCTCTGAATGCACTTTTTAATTAAAATGGGCAAGAGCTAAAGTAAGCCACATTGATACGCTGGCGTTGCGTTGCCATTCCCCGCTGCACCACTGTGAAGCGCTTGAACTTGAACTAGTGCCAGATCTTCAAAGCCTCTAGAAATGGGTGAGCCAGGCAAGGAAAACATGCACAACAGCTACGCAGCCAAAACCAGGCGATTCTGAGTTAAACAAATTCCTCTTCATTTCACTATGAAATCCTGACATAGATACCGAGTACTCTGATATAGACAGGGTCACACCTCTTGACTCACACTATGTGGGACTCGTATCGCTTCAGGGCCAGGTTCTACAGTGCCACGTACCTCACGCAGCCACCTGTGACTACACCAACTGCAGTGAATCGCAACTGAGGCTGGGCTGTATTCTGCAGCCATTTTGCGAACAAGGTGCGTGGTGGCTGGGATACAGACAAGAGCACAGTCACACCAGCACCAGGGGGGTCACTCCGCACAGTCCTCTTGGGGGATGGCTGATATGGGGTACGTTGTCTCTCTCATGTTTGCAAATGTGTTAGAAGAAGCAGTGTGGCATGAAGACATGAGCTCGGAGCCAAAGAAGCTGGCTTTGCATTGATTTCCTGCTCAGCCCCAGGTGAGTCACCTTCCTTCTCTCACAAAGGGAGGCCAGGACAGCCTCCCCTCTGCCTTGTCTGAGAGGTGCCACAGAGGTGAGCTGGAAGCACTAGCAAGTGCTCCGCGCTTGCAACAGGCAGTGCTCCGTGCAGCCAGGACTTCCCTGGGCAAACACGACGTCATGCAGCCTGCTGCAACCTCATCAGTTCTTCTGTTTCCCTTTGTATGCTGAACACACTTAACAGAAAACGTCTGGAAATCACCTCACATGGAGCACAGGATACAGAAGGTCAATTCCCAAAGGACAGACCGAACCCAGCTATGAAGGGCTTTGCTCTGCACAGAGTGGTACTCGAGGCTGGAGTCCTCTGCCCTCCCTCCGTCGCCTCCATCTCCATCTCCTCACAGCCCAGCTCTGCCCAGCTATGGGCCCTGTTGAGCCGGGCCAACCTTCGGGCCCATGGTCCAGCCTCAGCCCCAGGGCGATGCCCAGTGGCTGCCCCTGGGCCCTGTGGCTACCTGGCTCCTGGCTGCAGCAGTGGGATGGGCCTGGCTGCCAGGCCCTGCCCTGATGGACACCCATGGGGAGCCCCCAGCCCCGTGGTGCCCTGACACTTGTAGGGAAGCACCCTGCAGCTCGCATTAACTTTACCCATAGCCAACAGACTGACAAACACACAGCTGGTTCCAGTGCTCCAGGATCAAAACCTCTGCTGCTGCCTTTACCCTTTACACTAGGCACATCTGCAACATGATTAGCATGGGGCTTTGAAAAATGCATTTTAAAGACTGCAGGGGCAGGAGGGCTTTAAATCTTCCTGCCAACATAATTTAAGTTGTGGGTAAACAGGTTAGCATAGAGATAGACTGGTCTGAAAAAAAGTAATGAAAACCGCTCAGTCTCTGGGAGGAGCTCATCCCAGGGGTCCCACTGTCAGCCCTGCAGGCAGCAGTTCTCCAAAGAAGTGCAGCAGCTCCTGGACTTTCCAGCCAGCCTCATTTATTCACCTCACTAACTGGACTTGCAAATGTGGAATAATTAGAGAAACACTCTGGACTACAAAGTGTTTCTCAAAGCAAGCACTGAGTCACTGAAACAAAGATCAAAACCAGCAGTTTCAAACAGAAGAAAGAAAAGCCAGGAATGAAAAGGAAGGCTGCTTTCATCAGGACTAGGTCTTGCAGGCTGTGATCCGCTCACCCAACGCAAAGCGCACTTCTCAGCAGAAACCTACGCAAGTCAATCGAAGCACAGCACTCACATGGTTAAAGCCATACACAGGCATCAGGACCTCGATAAACAGCTCAGAATCAAAATCTTCATGCATATAGCTTACATAATACAACACTTGTAAGAAACTGTGCAAACCATCACCACCTTCCCACCCCCTAACCACCCCAAAAAAAAAAAAAGAATTTGGAAAGAGAGGGAGGGGAAGCTATCCTTTAGTATTTCTAAGCACTTAAAGCCAAATTGATGCTTCAATTGCACATTTGCTAAAGTTTAATGACATGGAATGGAATCAAAGCAATAACATTTAAATCTGCTTAAGGAAACTTGAGTCATGGGCCATTTCATCCAAATAAAAAGTACTCCAAACAGGATCCAGCTTCTGCTGGATGCTAAAGGGTGTTTGGGTATGTTGGTTAGGATGGACTTTCCTACTCACCAGAAGTATGATGTAAAACTAGTCAGCTGCTTTTCATTCTGCAGCTTCTATTCTACTGCATACTGGTCTTCACTAGGTACAGATCAAAATATTCCACGTAAATAAAAAACTAATGTGAACACTGTGTCATCAAATCTTCTGGCAGACACTCAGATATCACTGAGTTGATGGTCTGCTTATGCAAGAGAGATTAACGGAAGGTACAAACAAGCGGACAGAGTAAAATAAACTGCCTACAGGAAAACTTACTTGTGCCAACCTCATTTTTAAGTCGGATTTTTGGAGACAAAACAAGCATAGAATCATCCCTGAAAAAATAAATTAAGTTATATAAGGAGAAATCATAACCTCTCTTTCCTCCAAGAAATGCCTCCAAAAAGTTCACAAAATCTCATGCCTTTCAGCTACATCAGACAGCTGTCATCCTACAGGATCAACTGCAACCATTCATAGCAATGTGTTTATGCTTCTCCTAATGTGAATCAAAAGCAGTACAGTAAGTAAAACATCATATTGCCGTCATGTATCTTAAATAATATAAGGCAGGAGAAGAACCAAAAACACAAAGTACCTTTTAGAATTGTGTTATAGTACATGCCATTTCAATTTAACCAAGCCTGACATTCAATCTTTTAATAGTTTCAGTTCCTTTATTTGTACCATTAAAAGAAAAGAAAAAGGAAATTACATATATACCATAAACGTCTGGATCCACAATTGGGCCACTACCTGTAGATGGAGAAGAGGGGAAAAAAAAAAAAGAAAAAGAAAAAGCTTTGTAAATAGATTGCAAATGCTGGAGGAATAAGAGTTTCTTTAGGAACTTCTTAAGCATTGACATATTATTTGCAATAGCAATGATCAGTACCTACATGAATGCAAAGCAACATCAATATACTGTAGTCCCTGTTTATCAGATTACATTTATAACCATTTTAGAGCTATCCCAAAGGTTAATATTTTGCTTCATGTGAAACAGCTAATGCACAGGGCACTAGCTCTGGCAAAGGCAGGCATATTTCTCAACTGGGCAAAATTCTGTTTTCCACTGTTAATGTATATTTGGAATAAGTGCAACAATAAACATTCCTGTTGAAAAATCAATGGTAAAATTCTCCCTGATTTTAAGTTCACACAGACTTCAGTGAGCATTAACAATCACTGACTTTTACTTGGTCAAAAAATTCTGCTATTAAATCACTGTGAGAGCAATCCAGTTTAGCTGTGAGTTGGCCAGTTAAGGGCTAGAGGTAGCAACGACCTAAGCAGCATCATTTCATTCGTTCTGTAAAAGGATGCTTCCAAGAACCCAGCTGCACAGCTGATACACAGACAGAACTCTTACCAAAAGAGTCAGATGTCTCAGAAGCCAGCCTTTACACAAGCAAATGGATACCCGTCTAGTCTACACTCTTCTGAATTTTACTAGTCTCAGTTTGCAGCTTTTTCTAATTACTGCACATATGTAAGGCTGAGCACATATGTGAGAATAATGCACAGAACACTCAGTGAAATTAGCGTAGTATTAGACTATTCATGCTTTGAAAAATACTTGCATTGTATTTGAAAATACCCGTTCATTCTGGTCTATAATTTATTTATAGCATAGCTTATGTAGTAGGCTCCTAATCATCTCTTCCATATTTTTACTCTTTCTGTTTGTTGGTTTGGAAATAAAATTAACAGATAGTTAAAATCTCTAAAGATGAATCAAACTTCAAAAAGCATAGTTTTGTTTATAGTGCTATACAATAAATCCACAGCAGTGGCATTACACTGGCATAAAGCCACTGTGAAGTATGACCAGAACACCATTGTTTATGTCAACAGCATGAGAATCTGTGCTGAAAATAATGAGTTGCAACCTATTTGCAGAATGCAGCAGATAATTAGGTTTATTTTTAAATGCATTTGAAGATATTCTAGTATCCAGAGATAGAGGTTAATAGACCCCATGAGGACTGTCATGTCAATCTGCAGAAATAAATAACAAGTGAAGAAAGCTTGTACTATCTGTCCTCAAGCAACTTCTGACCAGGGTTTTCTGTCCATAAAAGTTCACGGATTCAGTTTTTCCAGTATAAAACATTCATCTGCTGAAACACAGTACTTCTAATTTACCTTCCGTAATCTGAAGGGAAAAAAATCCAACAAAAAAATTCCCAGGCCCTTATTCCTGAGTTAAATGGCAACATTTTTGTTACTGTTCACTAGAACTGGGATAAAATAATCAGATTAGTTTAATCCCTAACTCCTGCCAAGGATATAAACTAGGAAGTCATCAATTCCATTCAAATACCTTTTACATAACTAAATACGTCACTTCAAATAAAGTTTCAAAAATCAAGATGCTGGATGAACCCCAAATTTCTATTTTGTATTCCCTACATACAAACATATCTACTCAATCATCTAAACATCAGTTGAAGCTATTTTAACATTAAACTTCAACACAGGAATTTCGCATGTTTACACACCATTATTTTTAAGGCAAACAAAGAACAGCATTGTTGTTTTGGTCCCTGTTAGAACAGGGTGTTGTGTAAATAAAACTATTGAGAGACTTATCCTGTTCACTCATCTTTATAAACTGCATCAACTACACTTGGTTTGCTTGCTTCTTTCTTTATGAAGTTGACATTTTCAAAATAAAGTAGCAGCAAAGACTCAACCCAAGTACATACTTCTACAAAACAGTCCCATGTTGTTATGCTGCACAAGCAAGATGCCACTTCTAAGGCATATTTAACATGTTCTTTTCCTTTGACAAGATACTACGTGACTTGGATTCCTTCAGCTGAATTTCAGAGTAGAGAGCTGGTAGATGAAGAAGCTTAATTAAAAATACTTATTATTGGTAAAAATCTCCCCCACATCATAACTTGTTTTGGATGAACTACGAGAACAGCCTCCAGAATAAAATACGAACATTTCTTCCTTACTTTTTGCTGCAGTGTAGTCTCAAATAATCAAGTCAATCTCAGCAAGAACAGCTTCACAGGAATCCAAGAACTTTAGCAGATTAAAGCTAGTTAAAAATCTAGCTAACAGAATATGAAAATTTATTCTTCCAGGCCTTCGTATTTAAAACAAAGTCTTAACTTACAACATTAACCATGTTATCATTAACTCAATCCAAATCCCACTGTGGTACATGGTTTCCTCTCCTTTATGCCTGCATCCTCAGATCAGTGAAAAAACGTTCTGCAATTAGCATGCTGGAAGTTGAGAGCATCTTAGCACAAATCATGTCTTCATCATGTTTGATGCAACTTTGAAAGTGGAATATTACACTGCTGACAATAGAACGTGCTTCAGACTTAGTTGTATCTAATTTAGATAGACATATAGATTATAGGTGAGGGGTTTTATTTTCTTTTGGTTTTACCTTCAGAGCATTTGCCCGTAAGTGATGCAATAACCAGAGATTCAGTTTAAAGCTCAGTGAGTATACCCCACCCCATGAAACATCAGGGCTGGTATTTAATTAAGTCATGAAGGCATGGAAATGAACATAATACCAGGGTGTGGGCCTTAATCTTTATGCTTCATTGTACAATATGTGGGCCAAAGAAGAAACTACACAGTAACGACAGCAGTGAAAAAGCCTTTTAAGGGTTTGAAAAAGCCTGACAGTGCTTTAAATACTAATAGTTTAAAATAAAAATTGTAAAACAATGCACAGAGGATTCTAGCTTTTTAACATTTGCTCTTATGCCAGCTCCACTGGAGGAGACAACAATGTTGTGACGTTTCCTAAAGCTCAATGCCATGATTCTTACAGGTAAAAAATAAAAACAATATTGAGGAGGTCAAGTAGATAAGCAATTTCCGCTGTTGTTAATTTTTAAGACTGGTTTGGTGCCATCCACTATGCATGAACTGATTTCTAACGCAGTTACATCCTCTCTATATATAGCCTAGTTTCCTCTATACTCTTTTTGTGAAGGTTAATCCATCACAGAGTTTGGGAATGCTTAAAGAACACAGCACAGATTATCTTGGGAGACTTATATTCCTTACGAGTATAAAGAGAATGGAACAAATAAATAATGTTGTCTTTCTAATTTGAAGGATATCTACAGTTCTATTTAATTTAAAAGGCCATAACTGGCCCCCAGTGTACACAGAAGAAGCATAAAGGAAAAACAGAATAGTAAAAGGGATTTGGATGAAAACAAAAAAATTATAAATTCATCTAAATGTATCAGCAGGACTGTTATTCTGTTAAGAAAATTAAGCCAGGTTCATACTAAATAATCAGGGTGTAAAAGAACTTCCATTGTACACAGAACATCTATGAGGTGAATTGTTTTACTGAACTATTATAATGCAGTATTAGCGGATGCCAGTAGCTGAAATCACGGTATGTTTCTGTAATGAGTCTATTTAAAGAAGTACTCCAGAGAAAAAAGAGGAGTACTAAGGACAGCAGGAGTAAATAAAGCCTGGTTGTATCAGCTCTTCACCCTCTTCTAAGGGTGGGAAAGCAAAAGATCTCCGTCCCTACAGCCGACTGAGCTGATAGGGAAAAACCTTAAATACAGACCATATTTTTACTGTCTGTAGCCTGCAATCTAGGAGGGAGAATTTAAATATTCACTTTTTTTTCCACCAGATAACATTAGCACTGCACATTGCTGTTTCAAAAAAGAAGGCGGTTATTTATATTCCATGGCTGAAAAGCCAAAGGTACACACATGCTCATATTTTCAGATATGACTGTGCAACTATTTGCGCAAAAACATGCCTTTATTTCCACTCCAGCTGTCCAAGGTCCACTCAGAGTTTTTTCCACATACAGCAATATGCTTACATGTATGCCTTCTTACTCTTACAAACACTTCACATATGGTTTTGAAGATGTGGGAAAAGATCAAACCATGGTGAACATCAATCACTTACAATAGTCTCTGCAGCTCAGTAAGTCAATCCACCTTGAGGCCTGCTCATCCAGCATTTAGGAGGGCTGACACGGAGCCTTTAGAGCAACTGAAGATACATATATTTAACAGCAACCATCTTGAGCATTCCTAGGCATATAGGTGCCCAACCTCCAACGAAATGAATGGGAATCGGACATCGAAATGCCTGTGAAGACCCAAGACCTTGTCCACCCTACCTCTTGGTTACTTGTTTTCTCTCCAGCTCCCTCTGGTGTCCTGAACAACATATTATCATGAACTCACTGGACTGCACTACTGATTTTGCAACGAGGTACTAGGTGCTACATGGGCATCACCAGTGTCCTTGGATACACTGCTTAGCTGCATTTGTATGCAGTGCAGAAAACTTACAGAGTGGCTAAACTGGCACTCAGTGCTTTCCATGATAAGAACTGAGGCTCGAGAAAACACTTCAGAAACAGCAACCTTCTACTAGACTTAGCTAGCACTGAAGATGGTTACTCAAAGGGAAGATTTACAGAGCACCGGCATGGCATCCCTTGAGAAGCAATAAACAAGAAAAAAATTCTCAAGAAAAACATTCTTTCACAACTAATCCTGAAGACATTCATTCAGAGAGAAAAAAAAAAAGCTCATATAAAAACTTCCTCCAAAACAGTTAAACTCATCAGGAGCACCGTCTCCACAGTCTCATCAATTTGCAATTGCTAACATTAAAAAAAAAATTATACTCACCATCTCCAGGCACTGACATGAAATGAGCATCAACCCGTTTTTCATCCTCTCCATACTCATTCTTTGCCAGTAAGGTATAAGCACCATTGTTCAGGTGGGTAGGATTGTCCAGCTGAAGGCAGCCATGGTATTCACTTTGATTGATAACATGTATTTTAGTACAGATGTATTCAGACTCATTCAGTATAGCCCCTTCATAGAACCACTGCAACGTGGGCTTAGGGTTCCCTTTCACAGTGAACGGAATACACCAGTGGTGGTCCGGGGTTGGAGATTCAATAAACGTGATATTTGGTGCAACTATATTGGAAAAAAGAGTGAAGAACATCAGAATATTCTGGACATGTCTTCCCTCTCTTACCTCCCTCCCCACAAATTTATCAGGGAAGCATTTTTCATTCATCAGTACAAAAGTACGTTATTAGTAGGAATGATACCTATTTGGAGGATACTCACACAGGAACCCACCCGCTCTACCTAAGGTACTATGCTCACAACTGAAATGAAGCCGTTCTTTAGAAAGAAACAAAACAAACTACTTTCAGACAACGACTGAACACCTGTCAAATCACATAAACCCTGTAAGGTGTGGGAAGTTCAGTTACTGGATCACTGAGAAGGGGGAGAGAGACATCTTAGCTTTACTCTGATGACAAAATGGTGCAGAGGAGTGCTGAAGGAACACAACAGCATTGAAAATATTTTAAAGTTGGCCAAAAGCAAATAGTACTGGAAATATACTCAGCTAGGAATCCAAACTTTCAGATTATTTTCTTCACAGAATCAAAGCCAGAACAGATGACTTAATTCCCTGGATTCTTCTGTCAGGGAAAGACCATTTTCTACTATAGATTTTCTCATTCTTTGTTCAAACCTCTAATGTCTCAAGTTTACAGACTTGCTCTGTTTCCCTCAGGAGATTATCCCAACACCTTGCCCATTATTTCACTATTGGGAAATTTTCCTTGATATTTATTCTTAACTGCATCCAATTTCATCTAGTTATACTCCCTTTTATCACTCATAACAGTGCCAAGCTCAGAATCTCATTTACGCTGTTCAAACATTTCTAGTTTATGTTCCTTCCCATAGCTATTACATATCCAATTTCAACCTACAAACCTACATCTACAGTGATTTTTCTAGTTTACTCTGTCATGAGCACATGCTGAACAAATTTTGCCATCTACAAAGCGTTCCATTACCATCTTCAATTAAACAGAGGGTTGCAACTTGTGAAAACATGCTGTCTAGTTCACATAAAATTAACTCAGGCTGGAGCTCAGATCTAAGAAGCCAGTGCCTTTACACTACATGTCCCTTCCCCCTTCCTTGGCCCTGACATATATTATTGAAAGCTACGACAACTAAATTTACATCTGGCAGTACAACTGTTGCAAGTGTGTTATTTTTTGAACAAAGCACTTGTTACTTTAGATAATAAGAACATAAACACTTACAGTTTCTTATAATTAATTTCATGAGCCTTTTGATGTGTTCACACTTCTTAATTCCTAAGACAGTGTGTATGTACACACACACCATTACAAACCTTCCCACATTGACAATGCTATTGAGTATTTTGGGTTTCAGACCTTTACTTACAGATCGTTCTAACTGGAAGATAAAGCATTTAGAAATACATTTTCTGCAGAATGCAGGGCTGAAAAAGATAAATACAACAACTGCTGGTTGGGCTACTCCCAGCATTAACTGCAGCAGATAGTTCACATGCCCTAAGGGTTTTTGTTTCAACAATCTGCGTGCCCAAAAATTATTTATATGCAAAACAGTTGCTGCCAATGCAGTCTGGCCTCGGGAGCTGTATGGAGGTCTGCGTACGTACAGAATACCGTGAGCTCAGCAGAGGCTTGGTCCTCTCCCACAATGTTCTCTGCTACGCAGGAAATCCACAGTCCACTGTCCATGGATGAAACGTTCTTTATGGTTAGCGAGGCAGGGTTCTTACTTGTGTCGCTCTACAAGCCATAAGAAAAACACGTATGTGTCAACCGCAGCATAAAGAACAAGGGAGAGGGAGGGAATCATTGGCCACAGCTGAATGGCATTTTTCATTTTCCCTTCCTTTTAGCTGTTATTAGTCCACAGTTAATCAAAGTTTTACTTTAGTGTCTTAACCAAACAGACACAAAACCCCTACAGAACCAGCTGTAACCACCAGTGGCAGTGAATTCAAAGCTCCAAAAGTCCTGCTACAAACACTGCACTCAACCACTTCTCTGTCCTGTCACTTTCAGTTTCCACTTATTTTTTAAGCACTTCTTCCCCTCTACACAAAGGGGATTTTTCTCTACCCATACCCCTGCTCATCCCTCTCTTCCACTTCATGATTGATTTCTATGATCTATCTCTGCTTCCCTTCAAATTTTTCTTCCCTCCTATATTCTGTTCAATCCTCTCTTTACTCTTCCTTTTGTCTTTTTCCTTTAAACTTAATGCTTGACATCTCTTCCACTGCTGCCTTCTGAGCTCTGCTATACCTTGACAACGTGTCTTCTACCTCCTCCTTAGCCAAATTTCTCTTGAAAGCCTGTGCTTCTCATGAAACCTTCCACAAGAAATTACATATCTTCTACTACCTAAGCTATTGCCCAAGTACTGTTTTATGTGTTCACGCACAGGCTAATTAAGGTAAGAATTATGATTCTTAAAAAATCTTCATTCTTATGATTCTTGGAAAGCTCAGTGCCCATTTATAGCCCTAAATGTCATATTGAATACACAGTTACGCAACACTGAAAAAAACAAATAGGTCTGAATTACCTCCAAAAAAAAAAAAAAAAGAAGCCAGCAAAACTAGTTGTTAAAGACTCTGGTTTTCTTAAATCAGACCCTTCATGTGATCTCCCAATAATTACTATTGCTATACTTGAATTTTTCATAAAATGCAAGACTATTTTCTTAAATAGGAAAGGAACCAAAAGACATTCAGAAAATGAACAATAATTAGGACCATTTTTTAAAACTACTTTTGAGGTACTTTTCTTAGTGTACACATACACTTCAGTGCTGCACAGAACACAAACACACTGCATCTGTAAAACCACAGAAACTTTCAGTGGCAGTCAATGGGGACACGTGGGAAAGCTCCTGCATACAGTCCTGTGCAACCACAATTTTGAACCTCGAGATGACACCTTAACTCCACTTAAGTTAAATGTCCCTTTGATTTCAGTGTAACACTAGAGGAGGCGAGTGGAAAAGCAAACATCTCATTACACATTTCTCTATGTGCAACTCTCAGAGGTGAGCAGTGCTCAAAGCTGGACTAAAAGCAGAGGGGCTCAATTGCAGGCTCTGGGCTGAAATCTAGGGCAAGAAAAATCTAACCAACATCAATCAGATTATACATCAGTATAAAAACTGAGAGCATACAGTTAGCTCTGCAGGACTAGAGTTTAGTTTTAACTTTTGTTAATGTCTCTCTTTGTAAAACAGGAAAGAGACACAAAACAGGCAAAAGCAGCATCGGAGGTGAAGAAAAGGGAGGCAGAAGGTGAGATATGGAAGTGAGAAAAAGGAAACCCAAAACCAGCACTCACAGAAAAGGGAAGGATAGTTGTGAATGGCAAATGAGGTTTAAAAGGCACTCGTCCTTCTGCTACTGAAAAGACTACTGTGCTCCACAACTGAGGTTGTAGCTAGCCTGTATTATAAGCCTCTCAGAAATCTCAAGATGAAGTTATGTCAGGACAGAGTATTTCTGGAAAGTTTGAAGCAAACTGACCATAGCATTTCAAAGATAGCAGGGTTAAAAAATGAGGTGATCTCACTTTTTGAACAGCATCCCACATTGCTCTGGCTTATAACTCAAAAAAAAAAAAAAAAAGAAAGAAAAAAAACACAGAAAAAGAAAGAGCACAACTTGGCGTAGGTTCCCCAAACTGTTTTAATTTCTTGTTCTTGATGACGACTGATGCTTCTAGGTAGTTCTACAGATTAGAGAAAATTTTTAAAATAAAACTAGAGCTCTGCAGAGCTCTGACTTCTGACAGCTGAAAGACAGGCTGGTCAAATTCTACACAGGCACAATATAATGACCTCAAGGAAGAAAGTACAAACATTTCAAGACCCCAGAGGTCTTGTCTCTTCCGCAGTGCAGCAACAGTTTTGGAAGAACACATCCCGCACGTTGTACAGACCCAGGAAGCTTTAGGCAGGTTGCACCATCATGAATGTAGGAAAGCCAATACCATAAAATCATAAATAACAGAAGGTCTTGCCTACTGTGTAAATAACGGCAATTTAAGAGGTCAGCAGCTGCACATTGAAGATCTGCTTATATGCCTCTCCTTATCAACACTTCCATCAGAAATAACTTAATCATTCTATCTCCAGTGTGCACACAGTCTAAAGTAGGGACACAGAATACAAAGATCTCAGAAAACAAAATTCCCCCTGCCTAGATGATTTCATTGAGGAATCATCTTCACACTTCATTAAAAAAACCTGCCATTCTTTTTAGTAATAACCATTTCAATTTCCAAGGCTTTCTGTTGATGCTTTGTTTGTTGAAAGAAAATTAAACAAGTCACAAAATATTTACAACTAATTTCCAACACACAAAGCTTTTGGCATGAAAATATAATAAAATTAGAGACACAACGCTTTTTTCATTATTAGGGTAGATTAGATTTATTCTCTCTATGTAGGTACCAGTGGTAATAAGAAAGCCCTTCCATTTCAGTATCATGATTCACCACACTACTTCCAAAAATTTACAGTACTCTTATTTACAAGTGAACATCCAAAAACCAGACTGCAAATCAGGGTCTTGAAAAGCGAGTATCCGCAATTCTCCAAAAGCACTGTGGCAGTCACCCTGGATTGAATGCAACTGGAAAGTAAATGTAATCCCAACATTAATTTTGTATTTCATCTTTTTAATAAAAAGTTAACCAAAGCTGGACATGAACCTTTATTCCATCCTTCAGAAGGTATCTCCTGTCTCTGAATGTCATGTATCTGAATACGAAACTTACCTCATGGTTTGAAACAAGGTTAGTAAGCACCCAGGACACATTAGGGGGTGGCCCACCAGTAGTATCACAGTACAATGTGATGCTCTTTCCTTCCACCACGGTGATGTTGTAATTACTTAAGTTTGCTGAGGGCAAGTCTACGATAGAAACAACAACAAAAAAAAAACCAAACACATGCATTTGTATTTGATAGAAATAGACACCACTCAATTCTAAGCAAGCTGTATAAATGCAAGCAAAACCACAGATAATCACTGTGGTCAGTTACTATTCAGCCAGGGAGTACAAACAGCATCTTTGGAAACATATAACTACAATCTTTAAGCTGCCCCGTAACATTGTTCTGCACCTCCTCCACTTCACATCCTAAGAAAACATTACTGCATGTGGAAATGTTTCAGGTGGGCAAACAGAAATTATCCTAACTTCAGTTTTTAACTTCAAAATGAATCCCTTATTCTTTAAAACAGGAAATCTAATGTCTCTTTGCGACAGCTGCAAACGAACCTCTATTTTCCACAATCTGACACTGTGGTATTCCCACTGTTCTCCACAACACTAACAGGAAAATCCTATTAGCTCCCAGTATCACACAGAGACAGCAGCCCTCCCTCTCATACAGAAACACAGCTGAGAGAGAGTAGGGCAAAACCTAGATCTTAAGTAGAACATGAGGGAAACAGAACACTGAACAGACCAAACCAGAGGACAGAAAGGATAGAAGACAGGGTTAGCAATCACACAGAGCTGCTATCTAAGGCACCTCAACGGACTTTGCTATTGCCCTCAGGAAAGAAGAAAAGCAGTGAGGTGTGGTCCCACTCAACAGGAAACAAGCCCAGATTTTGCAATAATCAGGACTCCCCCTTCATCTCACAGAGCTATAAATCACTCTGTATCTCATCCTTCAGCATCTAAAGCAATGGGAGCTTCCCGAAGACTAAATATATGCTGAATGCTTACAAAACCACAAGGAATTATAGACTGACCCTCTTTAAAAACAAGGCCAGCAATATCAATAGACTTCAGGCACACAGGACCTCGCATTTCATATTTATTTACATAGCAAATATGTATGCAACACGCTAGAAATATCATATCTTTCTTAAAAGATACTGTGGCATCATTTGGAGCTGCTACACTCCGTAAAAAGCATTGGTCTCCTTTATGAGGCATTTCTCATCAATTGTTCCAGGCAAGTTTTGCTTGCAATTTATCATCTGAAATAATCAAGCTTATCTGCTGTGCTAGATATGTATGCATAATCGTGCAATGACTCTTCTTTTTCCAAAACAATAGTTCTCTTTTTTGTTGGTGTGGTTTGGTTTTTTTAGTTAAGAGTATAGTAGTTTCATCATGGACTTGCACGTATAGAAGTTTAGCAGAGACTTTTTTTCTTATGTAAAAAGTCACATACGAACAATTAACCATCAAATCAGCGTAACCACATTAATATGTTTGCTAGAACTTCAATAGAAGCTATATGTATTGGAAATCTCCCTTTACGTTTAATTAGTTGAATAAAAATTAAATGAGAGGAACTAATACAAAAGAGAAGACAAATAATTTTCCAGACAAAGCTTTCTTGCCTAATAAGATTTGAAGATCAGCACAAGTGTACAATAACGGCTTAGGCAATTCTCCCAGTGCTTTAAGTAGTGCTGTAATATGATTCCCGTTATAGGCATAACGGATTTCTTCTATTATGTTCACTTTATAAATCATCTGTTGAAGTATATTGAGACAGAGCTGGACAGTTTGTATGCCTTCATGCAGTAATCTGTTAGCGAAGGTAGCCATCTGCTCTCACCTGCTGTGAATTCAAATCTCAGCAGTGTCTGTCAACTAGCTGAGCAGGAAATAAAACTAATCTTAGGGAACATTTGGATATTAATTATGCTGGTTAGGGAACAAGAATAGAAGTAATGAGATCATTTGCTTTATAAAGTTACACTTCCACACCAGACTTGAATGCGCAAAGAGATCAAAGCTCCCCACTTTTTCCTGGCCCTAGCACTTGGGACAAGGTCTACATGACAGATCAGCATTTCACTCTGCAAGCCCACACAGTTCCTACTAACACATCATTCACATAAAACCCCTCATGTAAGCAAAAATAAAAACAACTTTGGTCCCTTAGAGCCCTCCTTTAATAAATGTTAAGTTCTGAGACAATTTCTTCCTGCAGTGTGTTTATTTACAGGATAGGCAACTGAAGTTTAATTCCTCTGGTATCGATTCTGGTTCCCACCCAGAATTAGATCTAGTCCTGTTTATTTGCAAAAGTCTACACATGGCATGCTGGCGTTACATCTCTAAGGGAAACAGGTACATCATGCTTGTATCCTGACAGAAGGTTATAAAATAATAGTGCTTATTCTATAGATTCCTAAAGTTAGTTACATTAAAAACCAAGACCCAGCAGAAAGCACTGCAGCAAAAAAGTCTAAGTAGAATAGAATAGAATAGAATAGAATAGAATAGAATAGAATAGAATAGAATAAATTAGAATAGAATAGAATAGAATAGAATAGAATAGAATAGAATAGAATAGAATAGAATAGAATAGAATAGAATAGCATAATCACACTATTGTTTGAGTTTTCTTTTACTCCTTTTCCCAGTCATAAGAAGTGGGTAGGAAACGCATACAAGAGTTGCCTTGGGATTCATTTTTTCTGGTTGGATATCTTGAGTTAGTGAACTTTAACTGCAAGGTCATTTTGACTTTTAGTTCCAGAAGCACCTAGACTGCTCCACAGCAGAATACACACTAGTTGAGAAGTGGCTCTGTTTGGGAAAAGCAGATAGTAGCATCAGACCTTGCATCTAGAAAATGGGATACACTGGACTTACCAATAAAGTAATGAGACTAAGCAGCAAAACCTGCACTGAAAAATAACTGTATTTAAAAAAATACAATGCACCCTAACAGACACATATGCTCAGTATGTATGCTCAGTGTAGTGTGAGACCATTTATACGAGTCAGTAGCATTTTGACACCAACACAATTACAAAGATATCCAACCACGCTGCATTCACTCCTGACTTAATTTGGTTAAATACAGTGGTTTAGATGACTATCACTTCTGTTGATGCAGATGTACATTTTAAAGGACTTTGTATACAGTAATTGATACAAGCAATGAGCCAACAGGTTCACATACTTTCGTATCCTGCCAGCATAGTAAGTTTAGACTGTAGCATGAGCCCATACAAGGTAGACATGACATCATCTTTCTACAAGTCTCATCTTGCTATCTGTCAGACAGAGATAACCCTGTGCCCCAAAGCTCGAAACACAGTATCTCTTTCAAACTTTGCTAGCATTAATTATTATAATTCTGGGTATCAGTAATAATCCTGCTAGTATCGGATTTCTTTTTTAAGTTTGCTATATTCTTGGCCTTAATAGCCTTCTGCAGCAATGAGTTTCACAGGCGTAGTCTTCAGGCTGTATACAAAAGCCATTCCCTTTTACCAGTTCTGAAATTTGTCTGTGACGTTCAAATTCATTGAGTGCTCTCCTGTTCTAACAGGACAGAGAAAAGAAGAGTTTCTGAATGATCGTCTTAAGACCACTCTGGTTTATTTTGTTTTCTTGAGTCTCCTTTCTTCTCAATTATCTATCCAAAGCTTTTCAATCTTTACAAAAATGGGAGGACAGAACCTGCTACTGAGAACTTTAAACTGTAATGTGGAGAGTTATGCAGTTCAATAGCTGAAATCCATGTGTTTCATTATGTATGGGTATATAACAGCTATGCTATTTCACCACATACAGAATATCTGTTCTCATATTCGAATTGATAACACTTTAGTCCCGTGAATAGGCAGCTCTGGATTAGAATAAGCACCACTTCCCTCACTCCAGCACAACTGGACACAACAGAGACAGGCAAGAGGAACTCGTTTATGTCAGCTCAGTCTCTGCAAATATCATCTCATGCTTTAGAAGGAACAAACCCTCCTTTAAGTAGGGGGCTATTTACCCTCATAGACCATCATTAGTGCAAACCCATGGCCCAAGGCCATCAGACAGTGGAACTGTCACGCATCACTAGGGAATGACTCATATCTTCACTGTGCACAGCTGGGACTTCAGCAATCACAAAACCAAATACTTTGGATGAAACTTTCAAAGGTTACTATAGCATTTGGCTACACAACTGTCAATTGAAACTAATAAAAAGAACGTGTCTAAATTCCTAGAGGGCTTTCAAAGTCTTCATGCTGCTTACTAGTTTCTACAGAAAACTTACACCGGCCTTGGTAGACCCAGATTGTCACTGTATGTGAAAGGAAGGTTATGACCTAATTAAGAAATAACTGAGTATTAACACAAACTCTATAGTCTGTAACTCAAATCTCAGCACCAAGCTAATGCTCTAGTCATTATACTACAGCAACTTTTAGAAGAAGGTCTTAAGCAAGGAGAAACAAATCCACAATTACACCCAAGATGTTGTTTCACTGGTTAACTATCTTCACAGTTACAAAAATTTTAAGAAAATTATTTCCAGATTGACTTTTTCAGCTTCAACTTTCACCCCTTCAGTTCTGGGCTTTGTTCAGCTGCTCAAAAACCTTAACCAAAAAATTCTCTCAATATAGTCAATTAGCCTCACTAAGACTTAAGAAATGACAGGATGAAGAAATGAGCACCTGAGAGAGTGCCATAAATCCAATATTGCATTCATTTATGCCACTCTTTGCATGCTAAGCCCCTGATTTTCATCAGCCTGTCAACAAACTCCCAGTGGTCTAGACATGATGCAGTGTCACTAAATGGTTTTCAATGTGGCCCATGACATCTCTTTTTTGCTTAGCACATTTTTGCAGGTCAACCTGTTCTGTAGTAAGAACAAGCAGTTACCGAGAAAAAATTGACAATTTTTTTCTCAAAACTAGCCAGCTGCATCTGAATTTTAATAAGGTCATTTTAATCCTTACCTGAAATCCTTAATTGTCTTTTTAATAAATATATCAGACCCTGAATGACTACATTAATATTGAGCCAGCAACCATCTAGCAAACTGAACCATGTAAAGGCAGACCACCAGAACCACTGATTTATAAAATATCCCCTGTAATTTGTAAGATACAGTGGCTCAAATCCAGTCTGCCTGTCTCAC